TAGCCTGCAGAAATTCCCTTCCAGCTGCCTGCCCGACTCCTGCTGCAGGGATTTCCAGGCAGGATGCCCAGCTGAGGCTGTGGAGCAGGTTGGGCTGAGCCTGGCTCCAGGCAGCCCAGCCGCTGGGGTTCAGCTGCCTTCCTCCTGCTCCTGGGTTTCCCCGCACTGAAGCACTGAGGGTGGGGAGGACTGGTGTACCAGGATACAGCCCACCAGGCTCCCACCCGTCCTCTTCCCTAGGGCAAGCCAGGCCCTCCAGGATGGGCACCGCTCCCAGCACCTCTCCGGAGCGCTGGGGCTGCAGCACCCTCTGGTCCCCACCTCCTCTCCTCTGTCCAAACCCAGCACTAAACAGACCTCATCTCACCTCCGCGGCAGCCGCTGCCAGCCCCTGCTCGCAGGGGATGCTGCGTAATGCGGGTGCCTCTCGGAAGGTGCTGAGCGAGTAGCATCCAGGGTCGAGCCCTGGGCTCAGGGTGTGCCGTCTGAGGTCTTTGCTTCCTGCTGCTCTCTGATCTCACCTCTCTCCATCTCACCTGGGGCAAACTGACCTGAATTAACCTCTGGGTGCTCTTGGTTCCTCACCAGGCTGCCTCCTCGTGTCTTCTAACTTTTCTCCCTCGCCTCCCGCTTGTCATTTTAGCGTAGCCTCCGCCCTGCACTCCGACAACCATGACCGCTACGAACGCCTCACCTCTGTCTCCAGCTCTGTGGACTTCGACCAGAGGGACAATGTGAGTAGCAAGCACGAGTCAAAACACCCTCCTTTTGAGGGGCTAGGAGCCCACAGCTTGTCTGAATCAAGGGCTCTTAGAAAAAACACTGTTTGCCCATCCCCAGGCCTTAGGTCCCATGCCTTTAGAGCTCAAGGAGACGCAACTACATGGCTTCTAGACATGGGCTTAAATAAGTAGCCTGTACATCCTTGTGGCTTAACAGAGATCTGTCGAACCTATCATCCCAGCGTTGCAGACATTGTCAGCTCCTCCTCGCACTGCTGTCAACCTCTATTGCTTTCCTCTCTAAAGGGGAGGGAGGCACGGTTCAGTAGGATAACAGGGTGTGATGGATGGAGAAATATTCCTCCCCCAGGTGTCCTTTGAGGAGCACTAGCTTTGGCCCAACCTTCCTTCCCAGTCCCTGCAGAGCTCCTCTTGGCCAGGATAATGGCTAAAGTACCTGTATGGTGAATTTTCTGGCTGTCCCTAGGCTGTGGAGAGCTTCTGTGCTAGCCAGGAGCCCATGGGTGGCCTGGGAGGTTGTGCTGACCGCTGGTAGGGGACAGCGCCATGGCAGAGTCCCACCTGTGGTGTGCCCCATGGAGTAGCGCTGTCATCTCCTTCGCCTTGGCCCATCCATGGCTCTGCATGTCGGGGTGCTCATGGTCTGTTCCCCCTGAGCCAAGTCTGTGTAGGTACAAGGACACCAGCCTGGTCCCCTGAGCCTTCAAAGGAGGGAGCAGGGATAAGGGAACACAGAGTGACCCGAGACCCTCCTGTCTTCTTTCTGCACAGGGTTTCTGCTCCTGGCTGACAGCCATCTTCAGGATAAAGTAAGTACCCCAGGACCTGCAGAGGGGACCCACATGGGGAAGGGGGAGAGGCAGCGCAGGGTGTGGGGACAGCCAGCGCAGTACAGCTGTGTGACCTCGCTGCCCTTGCTGCAGCCCTTTCTCTGAAAGGCACAAGCAAAGCGTGTCCTCTGGAGAGAACAGGCAAAGACAGGAATAGATGAGGAGTCCCAAAGCCAAAACTAAGGTCACATAGTCTGTTACAGAGGAGAGGACCCAGCCCAGGTCCCCCCTGCCTCAGTCCCATCTCAGAAACACTGTCTGCTGCTCTGCAGAGATGCTCCTCTCCCTGGGACCCCTCCTAGCGGCATTGCTGTCCAAGGAGTGGCCACCAACGGGGGACTGGAGGATGCAGGGAGACACTCCCAGCCTGATGATGCTCAGGGTAGTCTCCTAAGCACTTGGCTTCAGAGTGCTGTGGGATAGTGTCAGCCATCCCATATCTCAGCAAGACCCACCAGAAGGGTGTGAGCTGAGGTTTGCATGGTCTAGCTGCCTGTCCTGGGGCGCAGAGGGCAGGGGCATGGGGAGTGGGGCTGCAGTAAGCATTGCACCAGCAGGTTTCTGCCCATGCTGGTTCAAGGCTGGCTACTGGGCTCTCTACCCAGCTCTGCAGGGCAGAACCAGGGGTGCTGTGTGGGCTCAGACCATGAGGGCAGCCATAACCCTGTGCTTTTCTTAAGCACTTGAGGGAATATAGAAGATTGCCTGATGGCTTTTTCTCTCCCTGACAGGGATGATGAGATCCGGGACAAGTGTGGGGGTGATGCGGTGCACTACCTGTCCTTCCAGAGGCACATCATCGGGCTGCTGGTGGCCGTGGGTGTGCTCTCTGTGGGCATCGTGTTACCTGTCAACTTCTCAGGAGACCTGCTAGGTGAGAGCAGAGAGCCTTTGGCTGGGCTGGGGGAGCTGCTTTCAACACCCTGTCCCAAACCCCAGGGCAGCGGTGGAGGGCAGGACAGGACTAACCCAGACAAACCCTGACTGCTGTCCCCCTTTGAGCGTGGCACATCCAGAGGGTCATCCTGGGCAGTTTGGGTTTTGGGGTGTTGTGCAGGTGAGATTCCTGCCGTAGCCCACCCCAGTGGTTCTCTGTGCCACTCAGTATATCTGAACGTGCTTGTATCTGCCTCTTTCTCCCTAGAAAACAACGCCTACAGCTTTGGGAGGACAACCATTGCTAACCTGAATTCTGGGTACGTGTGGGCAGGGGTAGGATGGATAATTGAGGCCCTTGGTGTGTTTTGTAAATGTCCACTTGCTGCAGAGCCTCGTCTCCTTGAAGGTTGCATTTCTGCCCTTGCTGTGAGGCTATGGTTACTGCTCCAGTTTCCAGGCTGAGCTCCTGAGAGTTGGTTGTAGGGCATGTGGGTGCCGTGCTGGTTACAGTGCTCACGGCCCCAGCATAACTCAGGGCTTGACCAACCATACACAGACTTGTGGTGACAACCTTGCGTTGACCTTTGTGGTCTCTCTTGTGCCAGGAATAACCTGCTGTGGCTACACACATCTTTTGCCTTCCTGTACCTGCTGCTGACGGTGTACAGCATGCGCCGGCACACCTCCAAGATGCGCTACAAAGAGGATGACTTGGTGAGTGGGACCTGGCTGCTCTCCCAGGCACATTCTCCTATGCCCTTCTGTCGAGTCAGGTTGAGAGTGCTGAGCACCCCACTTCCCACAGCAGTTTGGGGCTGGATTGTTTCAGCTGTTCTTTTATTCTGCTTGACCAAAGGCAGATCCACCTGCCAGAGCAGCAGGCTGCCTGTGGGGAAACAGGAGAGTCCTGCACTGGGTGAACGTGTGGGGCCACCCCCATGGCTTCCTCAGGGGTTGCTCCACCTGCTTTTGCCTTCTTTGTTTCTGAAGGGCACCCCCTGTTTCTGTTCAGGCAGCTGCAGCCTAAGCCCCTAACTTGTCAACCTGCAGGATGCCAGCAGCTACTGGAAGCATAGGAGAGGGGGAGCCCTGGGTCCTAGAAGTGGTGGGTCTGCCCTTTCCCATCGCTGACTCAGGCCTTGGGGGGGTTTGCCACAATCTGGTCTTTCACACCATCCACACCTACCTGCTAGCTCAATTTTTTTTCTTCCAGGTTAAGCGGACTCTCTTCATCAATGGGATCTCAAAATATGCTGAGCCAGAGAAGATCAAGAAACACTTTGAGTGAGTCTCCCTGTGTCCCTAACCAAAGGCCCCCTGTAACAAGGGTGTTTTTATTGAGGTAGCGTTAGTGTTACCTGGGATGTCAATAATACATTGAGAGCAGAAAGCTAGGTGAAGTTGGTGAATGCTTTTACTTGGGGCATCTCGCTGTTACTTTTCTGCACAAATTTTTATCCAAATGTGTGATGTTGGTGGTTTTGTGCCTTGGGATGTGCCCAGCTATCTCTTGCAGAGCCACAGGGGGTCAGAGTGGTAAGAAGTGGACAGGACATGTCCTGAGATGTTGTCAAGCTCAGAGATGAGATGCAGGCAGGAGGCGCTCAAGCAGTGTCTGTGGGATGTTGTGCTGCTGCTTCTGCCCTGATCAGCAATCCCTGTAGAAAAGTATATTTTTCTTTTCAACAAACAGAAAAAAAAAAATTTCCTCTTCCATCAGGACATCAATGAACACACTGTCAGGGCCATGTTTAGAAGCACCGTGGGGAGAGGAGAAATGCTTTGTACCCTTCTGCCTCCTTCTGACCCCAAGCCCAGTGGCCCATGAAGGCACAGAGGGGGGTCAGAGGGGTGACCTGATGTCTGAAGAGGCTTCTTGTGGGGTTTACTTGAGGGTACAGCCTGTGGTGCTGGGTGTGATGAGCTGGTGTTTCCCGTCCGCAGGGAGGCCTACGCCAACTGCACCGTCCTGGAGGCTCGTCCCTGCTATGACGTGGCCCGGCTGATGTTCCTCGATGCAGAGAGGTAACCCCTGGTTTGGGAGAGAGGGCAGGATGGGCAGGGGCTGTGGGCTCCTCCTCAAGCCTGGTGCCACAGGAGCTTTTCTGAGCCACCCTCTTCCTTTCTTTCCTTCCCTCTCTTCTGCTCTCCTGTTTCAGGAAGAAAGCTGAGCGTGGGCGAATCTACTTCACCAACCTGCAGAGCAAGGAGAACACCCCATCCATGATCAACCCCAAGCCCTGTGGCCACCTGTGCTGCTGTGTCATCAGGGGCTGCGAGGAGGTGGGGGGAGAGCTGGAGCAATAGGGCACATGGGGGCTTGGGTCCTCAGGTCTCTGCTCTGACCCCTGTCCCCCTGCTTAGGTGGAGGCCATCGAGTACTATACCAAGCTGGAGGAGAAGCTCAAAGATGACTACAAACGAGAGAAGGAGAAGGTGAATGAAAAGCCTCTAGGGATGGCCTTTGTCACCTTTCACAACGAGACCATCACAGCCATGTGAGTGCAGAAGGTCCTGTCCTCCCCAGGAGGGTGACGTGTCCCGTATCTCTTGCCAGCACTAAGGCATTCCCCTGAGCTTGTCCCTGACAGCCCTCTGTGTCACCATCTCCCTCTTTCTCTTCCTCTCCAGAATCCTCAAAGATTTCAATGCTTGTAAGTGCCAGGGCTGTGCGTGCCGTGGGGAGCCCAGGGCCTCCTCCTGCAGCGAGTCCCTCCACGTCTCCAACTGGACCGTCAGCTATGCCCCTGACCCACAGAACATCTACTGGTGAGCAGCTCAGTGGGGAATGTGCTCAGTGCCCATGGGAAAGGGGTGCCCCCTCCCTGTCTCCCTCCCCGTCTGCTCCTCTGGTAACTGAACGAGTTGTTCTTGCTGAAGCCCAGCCTGGCTGAGCTGGAGGTCTGATCTGATTTGGAAAGGAAAAGCCTTGCGCTGGCGCCCCAAGTGCTGTTCATGCAGCCGGGGCCATGGTATGCACGAGGCCCCCTTGTCCTGCCCTTCTCCCCCACGCAGCCATCCTGATGCCCTCCTCCTTCTCCCCTCCCAGGGAACACCTCTCCATCAGGGGCTTCATCTGGTGGATCCGCTGCCTCGTGATCAATGTGGTCCTCTTCATCCTCCTCTTCTTCCTCACCACCCCTGCTATCATCATCACCACTATGGACAAGTTTAATGTCACCAAGCCCGTGGAGTACCTCAACGTAAGGCCTTTGGAGATGGGTGCAGGATGGGGTAGCATGGGAACCACCCCAGAGCACAACAGCCCCTGCAAGGGAGGGGTAGGGAGAGAGATTCAGTGTTCCCCAGGTCCTGTCAGCCTGACCACGAGGGAGGTGCTGAGCCTGGCCAGGGTGCCGGGGGCTTGGCATCAGCAAAGCATCAGCAGCAAGAACTGCCATGCTGTGTAACGCGTGGTCTCTTCTTTGCCTTCTTTGCAGAACCCCATCATCACCCAGTTCTTCCCCACCCTGCTGCTGTGGTGCTTTTCTGCCCTGCTGCCCACCATCGTGTATTATTCTGCCTTCTTTGAAGCCCACTGGACCAGGTAAGGACAAAAAACGCCTATCAGCATGCTGCCTGGCTACTAGACATTTCTCATGGATGTAAAGCTCCTGGCTGGATCCTTCTGCTCCAAGCACAATGCTGCTTTGCACCTCTGGGACACTTGGGGTCTGCTGTGATGCTGTGCAGCACAGTTGTCTCAGCAGAGCTTGACGTAGGTCTGCAAGAAGAAGAAGAAAGCTGGGAGGAGCTGGGGCTGGTCACTGGGAGATGCTAGTAGTGAGGGGAGTCTTGGCAGGGGTGCTGTGCCTGTCCCCGTGTGTATGTCATGGCTTTTCCGAGGGCTTCTGGCCGTAGGGAAGGTATTTGAAGTGCAGAGCACTGCAGATGTGCTGCTTGGGAGGCACGTTCCCCACGAGATGTGCAATGTGAGGTTTGTTTTCTGCTCTGTGTTGCAGAGAGTGGTGGGGAGAATGTCACCAGCTCTGAGGATTGAAGGTCCAGAGAAATTATTGCAGAGAGTCCTCTAAAGATAGGAGGACTGGGAGGGCCTGTGAGACAATGGGGGAGGAACTGGGACTGGAAAACAGACCTCAGAGACACTGGAGGGAAAGGGGGCATGTTCGTGTACCAGTAGCAGACGGGGGGGGTGTCAGATTAGACGCTGGGAAGTGCTTTCTGATGAGAAAGTGATGGGGACACTGTTTCTGGGGCTGATGGGGTGCCAGTGAAAGGTTAACAGCCTCTCCTCTGCCCACAGGTCTGGAGAGAACAGGACCACCATGCACAAGTGTTACACCTTCCTCATCTTCATGGTCTTGCTGCTGCCATCGCTGGGTCTGAGCAGGTAGGGCTGGTGGGAAGGAAAAGCAAGTGCAGAGACCCAGAGCACAGTGAGGGTTGAGATGCACCCCTGGTTGTTCTCCTACACCACATCTTTTTTTTCAAGTGCCCTGGCCACTGTCCCCTTGGGAAGCTGGCGTTTAGTTCTGACGAAGGGGCCGGGCCAGACCACACCTGGCTGGGTCTTTAGGAGCTTATTGAAGCAATCTGTAGATGCACTTACATGTCCCATGGTGCAATAATGCAGCAAAAATTGGCACAGTTGATGGAAGTGTGAAAAGTCTGCTCGAGGTCTGCTGGTGAAGGAGGCATTGCCCACCTCTGGGCTCAGTGCGCACTCCAGATATTGCACAAAACTAGTGAATTCCTCATTTTAAACCAGAACTGAGTAGGTTGCACTGCTTGGCTGGGTGGGAGGGTTCTGTGTAGGCTGCAGCAATGCTCATGTGTTTGGATGGGAGCCCCAAATCTTCCTGCAGGGGTGATAGAAATGCCCCATGGCCAACAGTGGTGTGTCCTCTGCCAGCCATCAGCATGGGCTCGCAGCCCTGAGCAGTGGCCAAGTAGGGAAACAGCATGAGGAAGGGAAAACTAGAAGTGGGAGTGGGATGGGGGGTCCTCACTGTGGTAGGGAGTTACTTACACATTGTAGGGTGGAGGATCTACACTCCCTAAATTCTGGAGTCAGGATAGAGCCCCTCAGTGGCTAAGCGAGGCAGCTCCTGGGAATAGACAAGCCATCGACAGCAGCAAAAAGGTGAGTGGATTGGATGGTTTTCTATCAAAAAAAAATCAGAACTGAGGAAAATGGGATTTGTTTCTCCTAAGAGATTTTTTTTTTTTTGAATCTCCATGTTGGAGATTGTCCCTTGTCCCTAACCAGTTTCTTCTATAGTCAGTCACCTGTTCCTTGCATGGATGTTGTGCCCAGCAGAGGGGAGAGGAGAATACTGATAGGACCAGGGCAAAGGCAGAACAACACGCATGCGAGTGGGAAGCTTTATGTCCCTCTTTGAGGGCTGCACTGTTTTTCCCAGTGTCTGATTTACATAATTGCTGGCAACACATTCCAAAAGGGAACAAAAGTCTATGGTCAGAGCTTTGGGTCCTTCTGGAGCAGCTCCCACATATTTGCATGTGCATGTCTGTCTGTCACTGCTTCTGACTGTTCCTCTTTTCTTCTTACCCCTTCCCCCACAGCCTGGATGTGTTTTTCCGCTGGTTGTTCGACAAAAAATTCCTCGCTGAAGCCGCTGTGCGATTTGAGTAAGTGGTGCCGGGAAAAAAGCCCTTCTTTGCAACGGGGAGGGGGCGAGGTTCTTGTTGGTGTCCAAAGGTACTGGGGGCTCCTGGCTGCTGCCCGGCGAGAGGGGAGCACATCCTGCAGCCTGTTCTCGCTGCACCTCCCCAGGTGTGTGTTCCTGCCGGACAACGGGGCCTTCTTCGTCAACTATGTCATCGCCTCTGCCTTCATCGGGAATGCCATGGACCTGCTGCGCATCCCCGGCTTGCTCATGTACATGATCCGCCTCTGCCTGGCCCGCTCGGCCGCCGAGCGGAGGAACGTCAAGCGAGTATGTAGTGGGGCTGAGGGGTGGGTTGTGGGCATCGCCTGGGGATGGGAGTGCTGCCATGGGGCTCACCTGATGCTGGGTGTACAGCTGGGTGTGTTGCACATCCCTGCTCAGTTCACATGCTGAAGGGTTTTTGTTGCCTCTTGTAGCACCAGGCCTATGAGTTCCAGTTTGGAGCCGCTTACGCCTGGATGATGTGCGTCTTCACTGTGGTCATGACGTACAGCATCACCTGCCCCATCATTGTCCCCTTCGGTAAGTGACACCCCTCTGCCTCCGTGTGTCAGAGGCTGGCGAGAGCTTGAGGAAGGGGAGGCAGAAAGGATGGGGTGGGGGAGATATTCCCCATCGGTCAGAGGCACTGGGAAAGAGGCTGATTCCCTGTTCTGCTGGCATCCCTCCCTTTCTCCCAGGGCTCATGTACATGCTGCTTAAGCACCTGGTGGACCGCTACAACCTGTATTACGCTTACCTGCCTGCCAAGCTGGACAAGAAGATCCATTCAGGGGCTGTGAACCAGGTGGTGGCAGCCCCCATCCTCTGCCTCTTCTGGCTTCTCTTCTTCTCCACCATGCGCACAGGTGAGCGCTGGGCTGGGATGCCAGCCCCCGACCTCCTGCAGAGCCGCTTCCCTGGCTGGGCAGTGGTCCCCTTCCCGGGCGGGGCAGGGGCCGTGGCCGCCCTTGGCCATGGGGCACGGTCAGAGTTCCTCTGGCACCGCCACGTCGGTTTTCATCTGCCCCAGGGTTCCTGGCCCCCACTTCCATGTTCACCTTCGTGGTCCTCGTGATCACCATTGTCATCTGCCTGTGTCACGTCTGCTTCGGGCACTTCAAATACCTCAGCGCTCACAACTACAAGGTGAGGCAGAGTGCTGGGTGGGTTTGGGGGACCCTGCTCTCCTGGGGAGCACCGCTCAGCTGCAAAACAGCAGGAGCTCCGGGGGGGTCCCGAGGCTCACCCCTGGCTTCACAGACTGGGGACGGTCCCAAGGCTGTCCCTGCTGCCTGTATGCTGTCTGCTTCGGGCACTTCAAATACCTCAGCGCTCACAACTACAAGGTGAGGCAGAGTGCTGGGTGGGTTTGGGGGACCCTGCTCTCCTGGGGAGCACCGCTCAGCTGCAAAACAGCAGGAGCTCCGGGGGGGTCCCGAGGCTCACCCCTGGCTTCACAGACTGGGGACGGTCCCAAGGCTGTCCCTGCTGCCTGTATGCTGCTCCTGTGGTGCCGATGTGTTGCCCTGGCAGTCTCTCAGTTTCTCCTTTTCTCTCCAGATTGACCACACGGAGGTGGACGCCATAGAAAACAGGCAGAATGGGAGACCTGCCACCAGTCTGCCGGCTCCCAAGTCAGCTGTGAGTCCCTGTCCCCCCCATCATGCCCTAGTCCACTCCTTACCCGGGTTTGTAAAGAGGGAAGTAACACCTCTTGACCTTTTTCCTCCCTGTCCACGTACCTCACTCCTTGTCTCTCTGAGGCAGCACCTGGAGTCTCCCAGCAAGGGCAGGAGGCGAGTGTTGGCCCGTGTGCCCCTCACTGCAGCTGGGGGTGGAAGTGTAACACCCCCACACACACGCACACCCCTTTCCCACCGCTTCCCAGACACTGTGCGTTCCCTTTCTGCCTCTCGGCCAGGACAGTGAATCCAGCCAGGTCAGTCTCCCTTCTCCTTCTGCATCTTTGAGCATCAGCAAAGGCTGTCACCCACTGGGCTGGTGCTTGGACATTGCTTTAAAGGTTGTGAAAGTGCTTTGGGGACTCTCCCCTCCCCTGCCCAGCTCTTTGGGATCCCAGAGTCAATTTTCTGAATTTCTCCTTGGCTCACTGGCTCTGTTCCAGCCACTTCCTTCCACTGTGAGATTTTTCTAGCTGTGCAGGAGTCTGTGCAGAGCTGCTTAGGGAGTACATGTAGGGCATCCTGCTTCCTCAGGAGAGCAGGGTTCATGTGTGCACATGTAATCCAGGCTCCTTCCCAAGGGCAGTGACATCTCTCCAAGAGGAGATTCCCCACAGGAGGCAGGCACAGCCTCGAGGGGTGCATCCTCTGGCAAAAACGGGAGCACAAGTGTTCCAGTCCGTGTGGGCTCCAAAGTGCTGAGAAGCCCCGTGCTCCCCCAGCCCCAGCTCCCTGGGGGTGCTGCCTGTCCCAGGATGCTGGGGTTTGGCTGGAGCAGTGCAGGGCCAAGCCAGCCTCACTTTTACCCCCTCTCCTGGCACATCCCATGGAGTCTAGGACCTTCCTCACGCTCCCAGCACGTCCCCACACTCAACCTCTTGCTTTACCTCTTGTGCTCTGCTGCCGTGAGAAACCCCCTGGGCTCACGTGTGTTTCTGCTTTCCCCCACCCTGTGCATGGTCCTGGCAGAAGTACATCGCCCAAGTGCTGCAGGACTCGCCGGAGGGCGAAGCGACGGAGTCAGAGGAGCAGGGATCGCAGGACGAGGAGCTCATCAACGCGGATGGCATGAATGACACGGATTTCCAGTCGTGTGAGGACAGCCTGATAGAGAACGAGATCCACCAGTAGGGACCTCGGAGGACGGGAGGGGAAGGAGGCTCAGGAGCAGGGCAGGCTGTGCGCACGGAGACCTAAGGAGAGGCACGGAGGGTGCTGGCCACTGCCCTCGCCCACCCACCCCCCCGGGGCTGCTGTCTTCAGTGAGGGCAGAGACCCTGCCGTGAGCTCTCCATTTCCCTGCCCCTACACGCCCATGCTGGCCCAGCAGCTTGGGGGGCATGCTCTTTACTAGCTACCTTCTTTAACACATCCCTAGACCCCAAAACCCCAGGGGCTGGGGAGGAGGGGGACTGTGACCCCCGTGGTGCTGCTCTGGACCTGCCGGGAGGATATAAGGGGGGAACCTTTGGGGTCTTCTCAGCAGACCCTTCTGTCCCCTGTCCTCCTGGTGAGAAACACTAATAATTTATTAGATTTATAGGAAGGTGATGAAAAGCTTTAGTCAGTGTATCGGAAGCCCCACCTAGGGAGGGAGGTGGCTTTTGTTGCACCTTCTCCCCACGCGTGCCCTTTCTCAACCTCTTGCAGTATCCACTTGGTGTGACATGCCAGGAGCTGGACCAGGTGTGGGGGCTGGTGACAGACTTCCCCCCCCACCACGGGCACAGGGAAGGTGACAGCCTGGCCTTGTGGTCAGGGGTGGCATCACCCTGGGGAAGGGGCACGGAGTTGGTGTGGGCACAGGGTTGAGGGGTGCTGGAGGGCACTTCTTGCGGGCAGGAGGAGGCGCAGCCAGCCTCTCCCTTGGGTCCTGTCGCCTCCTTCCCCGAGGGCACAGGCAGGGGATTGCAGCATCATTTTAAGTGGCATTTTTTTTGCACATTTTACTCCCCTTTCCAACAAAAAAATCAACGTGACCCCCGTGAGGTACTGCGCCCCCCCTTTGCTGCCCTGTGTCTGCACAGCAGAGTCAAGCCCAGGGGTGGGGGGGCTGTGCTGGGGGTCTCCTGGGTGCTAGGGAGAGAGGGGAGGAAGGGTCCTGGGCTGAGGCCCTTGGCACCCTGTGGGCTGGAGGCTGCAGCAAGACCCATGCTTCCCTGAGCTGCCGCAGGGTCTTCCCCCAGCTGGAGAGAGGGAGGGGGTCCTGGGAGAGCAGCCCCTGGAAGCCCTTTCTTAGCAAGCCCATCATCTTCAGGAGCACAAAAGCCTGGTGGGGCTGTGGTGGCTTTCTACACCTGGCCTGATGTGGGTGTAGGCTCCGGTATCACCCCACCTGAGAGAGGGGGGTGTTCCTCCCCTACCTCTGCCCTCGCCCCCTCCCTGCTGGTAGCTGTGTTCCGGAGGCAGTGAGGGGACAGGATGGATGGGAGAGGTGGACTGGAGCCCCTGGCACCCCCAGGGAGGTGTGACCCTGGTTGAAGGCTCTTTGGGAGGAGGTTTCTGGTTAGGATCAGTTGCCCTCAATTGCTTCCCCCCCCCCTTCCCTTGTGTAAAATGTAAAAGAAAATAATAAATCTCCCTGCTATCGAGCTATATTTATTTCCCTCACCTCCCTGCCACCATCCTGTTGGGTGCTCATTGCGAACACTACCCCCCTCCTTTTGCCTGTCATCAGTGGGTGCTGCTCTGGCTCGTGGGGGCCGTGCCCTCCGCAGTCTGACGGGGGGGCCGGGTGGAAGGGAACAGTTATTGACCTTCTCAATCACCTATCCTGGCCCTGGAGCTACAAGCACTTTAATAAACCTGAACAAGCGAAGCGTCAGCCCTGCCCAGCTCCGCTCTGGGGAAGGGGGGGTCACATCCCATGGCTTTTCTCTCCCTCGCCCCCCTTAGAGGAGGGGAGCCAGGCACACGGAGCAGGCGGGGGGCTGCTCTGGGGAGGGCGTAGCTGACTTTTCTGTACACCTCTCTCTAGGAATCCCAGGCCCAGAGAGCAGGGGGGATGGAGGGGAAGAGATGTGGGTCTTTGATGCATGGGGAGGGCAGGTCACCTCGCTCCCAGGGCTTGGCCAGGGCTGGAGCCCGTGTGGGTGCAGAGGGGCACGGTGAGTGTCACCCATCCCCTCCAGCAATGAGCTAGATGTTAAATGAGTGTGTGAGCTGAAAGCTCGCAGTCTGGGGTGGGGAGGATGTTGATCCTGCTTCCCTATTCTTGCACCCAGCTCCTGCCCTTGCCCCCGGTCCGGCGGGTGGGCTGGGATGCTCCGGTCTCTGTGGCCTGGGCTGCCTGTGTGGCTGTCAGGGCTCTGCCCACGGAGAGCTGTGTGTTCTGAGTGGCACTGTCTGTGTAGAGATGTGTATAATACCCTGTATATATTTGTGTACAAAAGAAAAAAGGAAAAAAATGGAGCTCTTGTTCTTGCAGTCATTTCTTTGTGGAGTGGATTGGGGGGCTGGGACCTAGGAGGAGAGGACCCCAGCTGCAGCAGGGATGCAGGAGCATGCGTGGTGCAAAAGGAGGAGGAGTAATGAGGGGTTTCTGGCCCCTGGGATGCACGGGGAGGCGCAGCAGGCAGGACTGCTCCTTGCTGCTGTCTGGTGCAGGCTGGAGCAGGGGTGGTTCCCAGGCAGCTGCCGCCCAGGACCTTTGCCAAGCACCCTCGTGGATTTGTGTACCGCGGCGTTGCTTGGAGGATGGCACAACACGGAGGTGAGGTGTGGGGCAGCCATTCCTCCATTCCCACCTCGTTGTGCTCGGGCTCTGTGGCTTCATGTGCCAGCAGCACAGTGTGAGCAGGGAACAAAAAGCTCTCCCTTGCCCTGGCAGCCCCCAGCTAAAGCACTGGGAAGAGGCAACGCCCGGGCACAACCAAAGACAAAAAGAGGAACCGTGCCTGCTGCCAAGTCCCTGCAGGCATTGCTGCAAAGGGAAGCTCGAGGGAAGGTAACAAGGAAATTGCACGGGTATTTGTGCTGGTGTTTGACAGAAACTGCTCCCAAGCCGAAGTGGCAGGACACAGGACAGCCTGTGTGACAGGATTAGACAAGAGCTGTCTCATACCCCAGGAGAGTCAGCTGTGAAAGCGGCTTTAAAGGCCACTGAAGGGTAATGAGGCAAGAGATGGAAAGGAGAACAGGGTCCCACCAAGGACAGCACTGTCCTGGGGTGGATCTGAGGGGCGGGGTGCTTGATGATGGTCAAAACCTGAGAAAAAGCTGGCGAGCTGTTCAGGACCAAGCCCTTGCATCGCAGGTCTGCTTGCTCCTCATCCCAGAGCATGCTGCTGCCTGCAGCTGGGTGCAGAGCTGGCTGGTGACCCCAGGGGGACCCCATTACTCTTCCAACCTGCAGGCAGCGATGCAGCCACCCTCTGAGGATAAGATGGAGCAGCTGCTGCGCTACCCCGGAGCTGGGCACCCCCCAAAACCTCCTCTGTGCCAGCATGGGCAGAACAAGCTGTCTGTGGTGGGCTCTCCTAGGTGGGGACGGGGAGAGGGCAGCTCCTCCGGCTCTTGGCCAGGGCTGGAGTGTTCCCTTGTGGGTGCAGTGGCAGCTACAGCTGGTTCTGAACATCCTGCTTGCCCTTCCTTCAGACGAGGGACACAGCTCCTGACCCCATATGCATCCTGGAGTTTTTATTTTTATCCCCTGGGGTGAGGTGGTGTGGGGACAGCCTCCCCAGCTGCAGCCAGGCGTGACGGGGGGGAGAAGAGACCCCAGGGTTGGTGACACCCATTGGGATCACCATGCTCAGCCCTGGCACCACAAGGATAGTGGTGCAGAGCTTCTTCCAGAGGTGGGGCTGAGCTGAGCTGGTCATGCCAAGCCAAGCCGTGCTGGCCTAAGCCACACCAGGCTGAGCTGTGCTGGTCCGTGCTGGGCCATGCCGTGCCAAAGTCATGTTGCACCACACCGGGCTGCACAGTGCCGCACCGAGCCCCATTGCAACCATGCCTGGCAGCAACGACACCACCCAGCTTAGCCACACCTGAGTCACCGAGGGCAGGCATGGGCACCCCCACTGCGGGAAGCTCCCAGGGCAGTGGGACTGGCACCCAGCAGCAAGGGCCAGCTCGGGGGAGCGGGTGCCAGGGCTGGCAGGCCAGCTGCGGGTGCCAGGGCTCACAGGGATGCCAGCTCCTGGAGAAAGGTGGTGTGAGCACAGCCTCCCCAAGCAGGAGGGAAGGAAAAGGGACACTAGGGTTGGTGACATCCATTGGGACCATTGTGCTTAGCCCTGGCACCAGAAGGTCACCGACCCTGGGACAAGGCACAGTGGAGAGCATCATCCAGCTAAGCTGGGCTGTCAGCAACTTGGGAGGCAGTGCTGTATCACCCCCAAACCCTTTCCCAGGGTAAAATCACTTCCTCTTCTCCTTCCAACCCCAGTTTCTGTGTGTACCGAGCCTTTTTGCTCAGAGCAAAGGCAGAAGGAGCATCCCCAATCTGGCTGTACCCCTCCATCCCAGGCAGCTGGGAGAGGGTGACAACATCCAAGACCCCCCTAGCAACCCAAGTAGATCCAATCTCCGGTCTCTGCGCCTTTAATTCCCCCCTCCCACCTCCCTCCCAGGCTTTACTCGTACATCCTGCCCGCCTAAACCCCCCCTTCCGCGGGGCCGTGCCGAGCCGAGCCGGGCTGGGCTGGGCTGGGCTTAAGCGGGCAGGGCGGTGGCGGCACCAGCTTCCGTAAGTCAACCCCATCCCCATCCTCACCCTTATCCGACCCCCAAAAGGGAGTTAACCCCCGGGGGTGGACCCCCGTCGCTGGGTGGGCAG